AAAAAAAAAAAAAAAAAAAAAAAAAAAAAAAAAAAAAAAAAAAAAAAGCACTCTGTACCCATACATATACGTATGTACAATCCAGGTAAGAAAGAAAGCTCGGGAAGAGACGGAGAGGAAACCAAAGGGTTGGAGCCAGGTATACGCACAACACACGTACATATATAGGTACAGAGGCGGCTGAGCGAAGAGAAGGAGGGAGGACGATAACTTCGCTCCCCTTCCTGCCCTCGCGCTGCTGGTGGTGGTGGTGTGGCGCCTATGGCTGGAGTAGCGTATTGATCCACGCGCAGCAGCGGTGTACGCGAGCAAGAGAGAGAAAGGGAGCACCTGCCGACAGTCCATCTCTCTCTTTACTCCGATGCCTGTCCGTTTTCATTCGCAGTGATCGTCGTTTCCCTCCTCTCTCTCTCTCTCTCTTTACACCACCACTGGCCCTTTCCGTAAGTATAAGCAGTGGAAAAACACCACCACGCTGTACCGGGGCTGTACTACTCCGTGAACCCTTTCTTCCTCCTCTGCTACTTATTTGCGGCACCTTTTGTCTCCTCCCCCGCGCCAAGGTATTACTCGACTGCTACACCTATTGTACACACACACGTATACTATATAATATATACCTCTACACCTTCCTTCTTTGTTCTACGTTGCCTGTTGTTTCCACTCGTGATTATTTTGCTTTTTCGTCGCCGTTTCGTTTTATTTTTGCTCATTCCCCTCGTATTCCCAGTCTCCCGCTCGTCGCCCGAAAAACCCTCTACGACACAACTCGTATACACCCGAGCTTTCGCCGACAAACACTTGATTTTCACAGCCCACGCAACAAACGAAATTTACGCTAATGCCTGCAAGCGGGGAAAGGAAGCCAACTTTGCGCGGGGCTGCAAATTATCGGGGGCTGGTGCGCTCGTTAACCATCAAGAGTCCTCCTCCACGGTGTTATCTCGATTGATTTCGATTGCTACGTGGAAGCTCGCATTTGTATATATATACACATGTATGCAAACTTTCTTCATTTTCCCTGCCGTTTAATACCCGGCGATATAGGGGCAAGTGGGTGGTGGCGAAGGGGTTGGACCGTGTAATCCAATTTGGTACCTTATACATGTATGTATACACGAGGGCGAATGGTACAGAGATACACGTAACGGGGTCGATGATAATTCTCGGGGATTTGTTTGGCCACCCGAGATTTGGCTCGTTTGTTTTCTTCCCTGCGCACCCCTCGGATGCTTTGCCATTTTCGTTTCCCGGCTCGTGTTTTGTGATTTTGCCGAAAAAAATTTTGTTGCCGTTGTTTGCCGCGCGAACGCGGTGCGCGTGTTTGTTCACCCGCGTTTCGAGACTCGTTGAGAGTTACGGTGCCGTATTTTTATAATTGAAAGGAATTTTTAGAAACTGTACATTTTTTTTTTCTCCCTTACAATTCGAGTGTACATGGTGAAAACCAAAGTTGTATAAAAATTACGCGTTTCCTGCGTCACTGAAACAACGCGGCGAAGCAATTATTTCGTTTTGATTCGGATGTAGCCAAGTTTTTTCTTCCCCCCGGTTGGCCCCCACTTAACTTGAAAGCTCGAGCGAGCGTTTACTTCCACATGGATGTATTTGATCAAACACAATCCCATTAAATTCTTGCCTTCCATGTATTATGCCATTTGGAAAAGCATTACGGTAATTACTCGGCATACAAATAAACCATTAAATATCGTTTGATTATGATTTTCGGTCGTTAAATAAACTTTCCTCGCGGGGGCGAATAGTTCCTAATAGCTATTTCATTACCACCATGGATGGGGTGATGTACTCAATGAAATACATTAAGTTTTCCTCAAATGAAAGCACAAGAATACATATATAACGGGCAACTAGTAAAAAAAAAAAAAAGAAAAAAAAAACTTTTAAAACTTCCGGTCAACGCGGAGCAAGCCTTCGCGAAATATTTTCCACCGCGTGTATACGGAATAAACGTCGAGTGTGTTCTCGGTACTTTGCACTTGCACTTGAAAAATTCAGCCGCGCGCGGCGGCGTTAGGAAAACTTTGCACTTTTTTTGTAAAAATACATCTTAATTTCACTTAATCCCGACACGAGTGGGCGCATCGTGACAGAAAAAGTTGAAGACATGTATACATACGAGAGGACGAGGGGAAAAAAAAGCAGCGCGTTTAAACTTTGCACTTACTCTTAATCCCCCGCGCTTGACATCGCCACTTAACTCAATAAATAGAGAGCAGTTCAGATGTGGGGAGCAAAACCCGCTCCAAGATTCACGTGTATTTGCGCGTCGTGCTTCTTCCGCTCTTTGAATTCATAATCCTCTCCGGTGGTTGAAAAATCATAACTGGCTTTGAAATTTTTATCAATTAATTTTTATCAAAATTTTACTCTTTCATATGTTATAACGTTGAAGGGTCTTTTGTTTCAATATTTTACGAAAAATTTTTACTCAAATTTTTTCACGTAAAATAACTTTTACTCGTTAAATTCAATTTTTTTATTATTCATACTTTTATTAAACCTGTACTGCGCTAAAAAAACTCGTATTATATGTATGCACGGTATGATTAAATGCATGTAAATAATACGACTAATTTATTGTTGAAGAAAATTACAGTTGATGATACACGCAGTAATTAAATTATGACGATGAATGTAATATTGTTGAAACGTAGTTAGTTTACTCATAGTGCATTCTAGAAATTGTTTTACACCCCTACAATATAAACGACATTAAGAGCGAAATCCTAAACAAAAGATGAAAAAAAAAATCCAATTAACATAAATTACATCATCCCTTGAAACACAAAATGCATCAAATGCCTTTTGTACATGCAAATTAAATCAAGTTATCGTACTTGTTTAAAAATATGTTATTAAGAGCATTAACTTAAAGAGATTTTAGTGTGAGTATCCAAATAATGTACGAGCGTAACTACAACTATCCAAATACAAACCAAAAAAAAAAATGAAATGAAACTCATAGTGCTCGAATGAAGTATTCATGACTGATGTTCAATTTTTCTCATCAAATATTCATCGAAACTGATCACGATGTTTTACTTTTACGCTTATAAAATACGAATGAAATGAAAATACCTTTTTCAAATTATTTGTTCGATCAAAGCACAAAAAGCCAAATAATTTCTCCTGGTAATAATTCGAAAAGCCGCACAATCCATGAAATAATCACGGCACACAGGTGGCATAGCGTCATCCCATCAATAATAAATTTCCACCCGATGCTGCTCGAGCCAATATCACCAGAACTCAAATGGATCGGGTGCGTGTACCCGCCACTGTATGGATTTACAAGTCAACCGGTGCGCGCGTAGATCAGAGCTCCACACGCCATACCGAAACGTATACGTACGCGCCACATGCAGCTGTCAATCATCCCTCAATTTTTTAAAATATAATCCCAGCCACCGTCCCGTGACGTGACGAATGTGTCCCACGTCCGCACTAATTAACCCCTTCTCGCGTGTATCATAAATTATATATATATATGTAGGCATCGAGAGATGAGCTATGTGTGCTACGTTTACTTCATCATCGTCATCACAGCCTCCACCATCATGTTTGCACACATGTACGTAGATTTCAAAAAAATAGCAAGTTACGTGAAATTACAATTTTGATAGATATACAAAAATGCATTTACTGTGCAAGGCTGTTCATTTCCTTGCCTTACTTTGGCTCACTTAAAAAATACTCTTCTTTTTGTCCTCCGTATAGAATGGCACGTAAGAAGAAAGTCGTCAACACGAGAAAATTACAATTTCAGTTGTAACACAGCTCGTATAAAATAATTGCAAGCTCTTAGGATGAGCTTTAATTTGAGCTCCAGTGGAGTCGAAAATGTTAATTTAAGTTTGACTCCATAAGTTTCCAAGAAAATGATGAAAATTACCCTCGTTTGCTGGATATTCGACAAAATCATCTTATTTTTCAGCCCCGTGTAAAATTACCCCCTAACTTTTGTATATACTTATAAGTACGTTTTTTACTCTCGTGCCAAAGCTCACGTAAAAGCTCGTTCTATATTGTATTTTTTCTGAAACACATATTTATTCAGGGTAAAAAACAAAGCCAAATTATTATATACCCATGCAATGCGCGGGACTTGGAGTCGCGATGTGGGTGTCATGAAAAATGATTCACTAAAAAATAATTGATTCCTTGGCGGTTATTTACAAAAATCAACATAATACTTGTGCTTTGTAAAAAACGTGTGAAAATATAAGCTCGTAAAAATTGATTGCAGGAACAATCGCACAAATCGTACCGGCCGCTCTGCGTCCTCACGTTCCGTTGGAATTACATGATACACCAGCTGGACCCAATGGGTTACCACTTGCTCAACGTCCTCCTCCACGTCGGCGTATGCCTCTTGTACTTCAGGTTGGTACCACACACTCTTGTATTCACGATCATAATTATCGCACACATGTACATGTAGTATGTATGGGCCTCGATATCAATGCCATGCACTCGGGTAAAGGGTTGCGTGCAGTATATATAGTTGAATGGATCCAATCATCCGTCCCTTTTCAGTACAGAGGATGAAGAGGCGCAGGGGGTTATCGATCAAAAGTCGTCGTCGTCGTCGTCGACTGCAGCGCAATGAAGGTACATATACGCGTATACGCGTACGTACACATGCGTATATATAATAAGAGCAAGAGGAAAAGGCAGCCTCGATCGGGGGATGGGGCGCTCGCGAGGGGTATATATATATAT